AGTCAGGGACTTCTCCAAATTACTGAGGAGCAATGATGTTAGGTAAATAAGGTACACCTTATTTAGGCCATGGTCTTTTCAATCACTTGCTATGCTGCCAAGAGTTGAACAGTGAATAAAGATGACAGAAGAATTGATGCCTTTGTGCTGTGGTGTTGGAGTACAGAATATCCCATGAACTACCAAAAGAACAAGCAGGTGTATCTTGGGAGAAGGTGCAGCCAGAGTGTTCCTTAGAGGCAAAGATGATAAAGCTTCATCTCATATACTTTGGAAATGTTGCTAGGAGAAACTACTCATTAGAGAGACATCATGCTTGGGAAGGTGGAGGTACAGCAAAATAGAGGAAGACCCTCAACAAGGTGGATCATAAAGTAACTGCGGCAATGGACTCTGTGTCAGAGGTTGTTAAGGATGGCACAGGACAGGATAGGGTTCAGTTCTGTGTTCCCAGAAATGCTATGAGGTGTACTCAACAGCACCTAACAACAGTAATTCTAATTTATACACATGCCTTAAAAAAAAAATCCAAACATTCAAGATATGTATTAGAAAATACTTATATGAAAACTTCCAGAATCTCATACAGACCCACCCTTCAAAAGCAATCACTATTAACACAGAAAATTATTTTATTTCGTAGAGGCAATAAAATTCTGGTCAATGAGTTGTCTTTAAGTTTCTTTTAAATGTGTTCCTTTTAAAAATTGATCAATCTTATGTTTCAATTTCAAAAGTTGTTGTTGTTATGTGGCATCGAGTCGCTTGTGACTCATAGCGACTCTATGTACAAGAGCTCTAAACGCTGTTCTATCCTGTGCCAACCTAGCCAGCTCAAACGCACTTATTCCCACCGCTCCAGTCACAGAATCGATCCATCTCATCAAAGGTCTTCCTCTTTTGCGCCACCCCTCCACTCTGCCAAACATGATGTCCCTCTCCAAGGACCAGTCCCTCCTTGCAACATGTCCAAAATGTCAGGCGAAGGTTCAGAATCCTTGACTCCAGGGACCACTTTGGCTTCACCCTCTCCAGGACAAACCTGTTTGTTCTCCTAGCAGTCAATGGTATATTCAACACTCGTCTGCAGCACCACAGCTCAAAGGCATCAATCCTCTTTCTATCAACCCTATTCACTGGCATAGCACATAACTGCGAAGACTATAGCCCGGATCAGG